GAGTAGTTACTGTGGATGAAGCACATTCTTTCTTATTTTAACACTTTACATTTTAGTGTGCATGCACAAGTTTATGACTTTAACTATTTTATATTCTTTATTACTGTATTAAAAGTGATCACGTTTGTTCCATATCATTTCTATTATCTATTATATCAATTGTAGATTAACTTTTGTTTATTCCATATATATATATATATATATATATATATATATATATATATATATATATATATATATATATATATATATATATATATATATATATATATATATATTTGATTGTTCTTCTTATTTTTTTAATCGTATCCTATCAACCTATCAATTCAATGTTTTAATCCATATTAATATATTGAATTGATAATAGTTTGTTTAAAATGAAGAAAAGTTAAGTACATTGAATTGCTCACGAATATAATGTCTTTTATCATTGATTTTTATTTTGCTCATAGTGTCATAATTATCATAATTATCTTATATATATATTGTAATATCATTTGATATTAGGTCAATGTGTTTTTTTTGTTGTAAACAAAACAACAAGAAAGGTGGGGTGTATCTATTGACTTATTCCTTTTCTTTTCCTTTTTTGTTGCATGTATTCATTTATGGTTCCATATGTGCCTCGTATAGAATTAGAGAAGGTAAACTTAACTACACATATCGATGATGTCTCTCTTTTACCTTCTCTCTCTGTCTCTCCCTCTCTTTCTATATATTGATAGATGTGATCATAAAATTTATTTGACTTTATTCATTTATCATAAGAACGATTACTATTACTATTATTATTAATATTACAATTATCGTCTTATTGAGATAGTGTTGTTTTTTTTGGTTCAATAAAAGGTTGTTTTGTTTTTCTCTTCTTTTTTTTTCTTTCTTTAAAAAGCACAAAAATGATAGTGATTTTTCACCTACTAATTTGTTACTATCTCTCTTTATGTATTTGATTAGATCTTGTGAATATAAACTAATATGATGTATTGAATGAATGAATTTCAGCACAAATCACACAGAAAAACCTATTTTGATCTTTATATATAGATATTTTTTTTAAACAAAAAAAAAGAAGAAAAGAGAAGAAAAGAAAAAAATTTCAACTGTCAGTGTTTGTGTTTTTTTTTCTTGTTTCTTTTATGTTTTAATTTTGTTTCTCTTGGAATAATAAAATCGCATTATACAATACAATTTTATTCCTAGAAACAATATGGATAAACAACCCATATCAACATGAATGGACCTATACATATATATATATATAAATAAAATATATATTTGAAGTTACTTTGCAAACATTTTGGTTTTATGTTTTGATTTAATTTTTCATTGTGTATGTTTATGCTTGTTTGTATGGATTAATGTTTATGAATGACATCATTATTATAATTACTTGTTATAAAATGACCAATGGATTCAATCCTGTAGCCTTAAGTTGACAAGCATTGATTATTTCCATACATATTCTGTTGATTATTCTGATTCATAACAATCTTCAAGTTTATAAGTTAATAATTGACCAAGACTACTTACTTACTTACGTCTGTTACTTCTCGCGGAAAAGTATAGGCTGTCTATCAGCACTCTCCATCCAACCCTGTCCTGGGCAATCTTTTCCAGCTCTTTCCAGTTGTTATTCATCCTTTTCATATCTGCTTCTATTTCTCGACATAATGTGTTCTTTGGCCTTCCTCTTCTCCGCTTCCTTTACTATTCCAAGTTGAGGCTTGCCTTGTAATGCAGTTGTGGCGATTTCCGTAATGTATGTCCTATCCATTTCCATCGTCTTTTACTAATTTCCTCCCTAAACTGGAGGCTGGTTTTTTCTCTATTGATCAAGATAAATATGCAAACATATAAAGGATAGGCGAAATTATATCTTTTCAAAAAGCTAGAATGAATGAATATGAGTATTTCAAGGAGTCACTGCTACTTTATGTTATCAATAGAGACTATTTTTCTGTTATTCTTGTCTTGTATTCAATTTATTAGTGTTTTGTTGCATATGTACTTCTGTTGTGAACAAGAACATAAGCGAGGACAATTGAATGTGTTTGAACATAAAGTTACAGGACATCTTAGTAAAATCTGAGGACCATATAATAAATACCCCATCTGTAAAATGTCAGTCAGTTGTCTCAAACTTAACTGTTCCTTTTGCAAATATCAGTCAATCGTCTCAGATTTCATTGTTCTTTCGTTTGGCAATCAATAATTTTTTGTTCTCGTTCTCCTTTCTTCATTCTTCTTAACCTTCTATCTCCAGACATTTCAATTTCGATTGTCGACATCAGTAGCACACACCACACTCGTTGTAAGCATACCTGTCCTGTTGCCTTTTTTTCGAAAAAAAATATTCAACAGTAGGATTCAAAAGCAATGCTGAAAATATTTTATTGAATTTCTTTCCTTTTCCAGTTTATTAATCATAATCTATTCGAGACTAGTTTAATTTCATTTGGTGCTCATATCAATGTATGTAGTAAACAGTGATCTTATTTCGTTCAAATATTTTAAAAGTAGCGCTTATTTCTCTTGTCGTTTCAGTCAGGTTTGTTATGCTCCTAACGAAATCTTAACTTAAGATGGTTATAATAAATTTGAAAGCATAATGGCTTGATATAAAACTGCATAGCATTTGTCATTATGATGGAACCTGTAGTGAAATTCGAATAATTTCAGATTTTGATAAGCTACAAACAGCTATACAAAACTGCATTACAATTATTTGCAGTCATGTATTAGATAATAATAATCAAAGTTTGATAAGCATGTTATCGTAATATGTGATATGAATTTCGAATAATTAATGCGTTATTTAGTCATTTAAACGGATTCGTTGATTTAGTTTTATTTGATGAGTGAAATTCGCAAGAAGTGGTAAATAGAAGTGTGAATTGATGAACCACGGATCAGTAACTAATGTCCTTCCTTGCTTAGGAGTCTACAAATTCACTGAACAAAGTGGCTCGTGATAGTAACTCATATTGCTTAACATTAAGTAATCGGTAAGAAGCTCTAGACCTAGAAGTGTACCAAGTAGTTTAACATTTATTACTAAGAGAAACTGTTACTTTATGGTTCTTTGTAATGCTATTTCAACAAAAACATGTATTACACTTCATGTTAACTAAAAAATGAAGGTTATGAGTAGTTGTCTAAAAGTAGAATGATTATTTGATTCTTATCATCACTACAAACATCACTTTCATACCAACTATGTATTTCAAGCATTAGTTTTTGGTGATTATAATATATCGGGAAACGTGTTGATACATTTTTAGTTGTTAATTAATCAGTAGACTTTCGGTGAAACAGAATGTTTTATTAACTTCATTCAGTTAATTTATTTAGTATTGTCGATTAGATAATCTACATATATTAATGATTCATTAAAGTTTTGTAATCTAACCCATGTCTTAGCATAATTAACACTATCCATCAAATACTTTTAATATTTACTAATGAGTTTATAGGTATCGATGCCATGGTTGAACTTGATAGTTTCAAATAAATTGAGCATTGGGTAGAAAGTTAAGAATGAATCCATTTTTTTGTAATATTTCAATGGGAAGAAAAGTTGTATTTCTGACGTTTCGCGACTTAATGTAAACCACTTCTTCAGAGTATGTACACGTTTCTATTGGTTACGAACTTTAGTAATTAGTGAATTATCCTGTGGTAAGAACATTTTTAATAGCTTTATGTGGTAGTTGTTATTTGATAGTTAAAGTCATTTGTAGACAAGTCATCAGTTTACTTTAAAGATATATTACAAATAATACTTGTGAATACCCTTAGTTTTTAGGTAAAACTATGCGAAACACCTTAAATAGAGAGTTTTCAGGTTTCAATTGAGATAGCATATAATCATTTTCTGTGTTAGGTTTATTCATCTGATAATAATAATAATTATAATTATCCTATTTTGAACTGGTAGAATAAATGCATCTATGGCTAACAGTAAGATTCAAGACACACATTTCGTCCTAATTCGAACTTGTCAACTGAATATATAGTCCCAATTTTTATATTCATATTCAGACTTAAACCGTTGACTTTTGCTAACGTATCTGAAATAGGACAAAATTGGATTTTTATATTCCATTGATAGCTACAAATCCAATTATTCTATAAAATCTTTGAAAATTGCATATTTTGAAGTAATCCACGCAGGATACATATGCTAACAAATACCAATTAAGATTTAGTCATTATTATAAACTCCTGGAAAGTTAAAATCTTTTGTAATGATATCACACTCTTAATGTCTTCCCGATACATTTTTATTTATTTTAACACTTAAACCTAGGTACAAGAAGGCACCAAATAGATATGCGCTGCATAAATCAGTCGATTTGTGTGAGAGCTGGGTGACTGCCCGGGTGCCCTTAACGAAGTAGGTGGTTTTCTTACGAGACCACACCCCGACTCTTTGACGTAAAGGTCTAATCCACATGGCAGTGGACCAACGTCAGGACATACAGTCCCCTCGTAGCCAGTGACCAACATTTGGTTCATACGCTATTTGTTCCTTCAGGATCCTGGAGCCAGCCCATGTGCACTATTAATTTGGAATCAGAGTTTTCCAACTTCCCTAGGTGAACTCTTCGTGTCCACCAACCCGATTAAAGCGTCGGACATTCGCTTTTCGTCCTCTTAATTTCGTAAACAACACCCACGTCGTGAGAATGTAGTCAGTAGGCCATGTAAAAGCATTTCGAGAGAGAGTTGACTCCCCTCACTCTCGGTTGTACCAGGGCATTTGGGGTCCTTAGCGTGACATAATAGCTACATGTTCAATTATTATTATCCTAAACATTATCTTGATGATCCTTTTACTAATAATATCTTTGATATTCTTTTTACCATTTTCAGTCATTTCCAGTGATTTACTATTTAATTCTCAAATAAAACTTTATTATTATTATTATCAAGATATCTACTATTTTCTTATATTAACTAATCATAAATATATGTTTGGATATTATTGAATTTTAGGCAGTAATGTCGTCGTCTAATTTAGAAGCACCTCCATTAATGCGAAAATTATTAATTGGACAATTATTTCATAATATTGATAAATTGCCAATATATAATTCAATTCGACAAATTTGGGAAATGGATCTCCTTAACAACAACATCACTACCACCACCACCAATAATAATAATAGTGTTCTGAAGAAATTATCATGGTGTATGCTTTGGTTACAAGGTAGAATCATTAAAAACTATCAATCACCTAATAATAATAATAATAATAATAATAATAATAATAATAATAATAATAATAATTTCATATTAGATGATGGTACAGGTGAATTATTAATTATTTATGAATTGGACAAAAACCAACCAGTCAATTATAAAGTAAATATTGGAGATTATGTTGCTGTCATTGGTAAATTAGTTCAACCTAATAAAGATAATAATAATGATTATAATGATAAAAAGGAATGTTTGAATGGTTGGCATATTCTAGCTAAAAGTGTTACACATTTAACTGATCATATTATACAACAAGATAATGGTGAATTATTTACAACATCATCGTCATCATCACAAAAGATCATGCCGAATTCAGCATTTTATGAATTATCTTGGCCTTTAGAAGTTATAGATATGACATATTCTGTATAAAATTGAATATGTTTTGTAAATACTATTTTTTTTATGATGTAAAATAAAAATGTTCATATTGACGAATTTGTTTTATACTTGTTATTTAGTTTTCTATTGAAGTATTCAAAAGTTTGAAGTGATCTATATTTTCTTACAGTTTTTGATTTAGATTGTTCAATAATTTAATAGTTGAATTCATGAGTCAATTGAAGATAGACCTGGAAGCACTAGACGACTGTTTCATCCTAGTACGGGACTCCTCAGCAGTGTTCGTCTACGATCCCACTCACGGGATTTGAACTTAGGATTTAATGATCTCGCGTACGAGCGCCTAACCTCTAGACCACTGAACTGACCGGCATTCAACGGCGTTAATGTCTAACTTCAATCAATCCCTTTTCAACAATTACTGTCCAGTGATTACGTAGGGTCTTATAAAGCAACATATCACTGTAAATATCTCTAGAAAAGTGTAAAAATTATAATCAAGCGAAAAATTACAGCTTATTTTAAAATGTAATACGAAGTATTATTTTACAATGATTCTTAGTTATCTTTAATCTATTCATTAACAATTCAGTTGAAAGGTCATATCCATTTTCAGCTATTCCGTTTCCAATACCTGGATCACATTAAAACCCTTAACATAAAACGTGTACTAGACTATGCTTTTTGTACATTTTGAATGAAATTTTTATGATCCTTCTTTCCTGCATGCCTAAACTTTGATACCTTCATTGATGTTTAAAATTCTTTATAATTTCACGAAGACTGTTGGTACAAGTTATCCATTTAGAAAGCGAGCAGTATGTATGTTTGTTTCAGCAGTAGTGCATAACTAGTTCAATCTGTGTAAAATTTAATAGTTAGGCATTTATTTATCAGAAGTGGTTTTGTGGAGATTGTAGTAATTTCAATAGTTGGGATCATGAGTCAATGGGAGCTAGACCACCATGGAAAACCTGGAAGCACTGAACGGTAGTTTTGTTCTGTTGTAGGACTCCTCAGAAATGCGCATCCACGACTCATAAAGTCAACTGTTGAACTCACTACAATCTCCATAAAACCTCTTCTGATACTAATCAACGTACGCTCACTAGTGACTGGCTTCAAGAGGTATATCCGAGAGTTCTAATGAGAAGCAGTGACCAGTGGACTTCTACTAGGTCTGTTGTAAGATACTAACTCACTGATGACAATGATGAATGTGTCACTGAATTTCGTGGATTAGTTGAACTTAGACATTAACACCATTAAATACCGGTTCGGTGGTCTAGTGGTTAAGCGTTCGAGTGTGAGACCTGGGTCGGAATCTCGCTAAGTGCGGGATCACGGATGCGCACTGATGAGGAGTCTCATAGTGAGACGGGATGCCCGTCCAGTGCTTCCAGGTTTTCCATAATGGTCTAGCTTCAAGTGACTCATGATCTCAACTATTGAAGTTTATTTATGTTTATGAACCCATTTATCTCAGTATACATTTTGTACTGATATATATATATATATCATTTTGAGGATTCGCATAGCGATAATTTATATTTGTTCATTTTACACTTGTATTATTACTTATACATCAAAAGAGAATAAATGTACCACTGAGTACCAAAGAGTAAAATAATCCAACCATAGTAATTTTCTTGTGGATCTTGAAGACGTTAGCATCTGAGGGGAAGCATGGAATAGAGTGGACAGCTAGGATGCAGCTGGATGATCTAGACTTTGCAAATGATCTAGCTCTTCTGTCGCACACGCAAGAACAAATACAAGAGAAGACGACCAGTGTAGCAGCAGCCTCAGCAGCAGTAGGTCTCAACATACACAAAGGGAAAAGCAAGATTCTTTGATACAACACAGCATGCAACAATTGAATCACACTTGATGGAGAAGATTTGGAAGATGTAAAAACCTTTACATATCTGGGCAGCATCATTGATGAACATGGTGGATTTGATGCAGACGTATAACTTTCGACGCGAATAAACATCTTTAAAAACTGTTGTTTAGAATTACTCTAGAATGTGTCCAACGGATGACTTGAAAGCTTACCTAGAACTAATATACTTTTAAGTTAGAATTCAACACCTCACATTTCTTAAGTTGAATTATGACATGAATCATGTTGTATCACATATTGCCGAAAAAAATTTAAAATATAAGCTCATAGATTCCAACTGAATGATTTGACACTATTATACTCATCACATGGTATAATTGTCTTAATTTCAATTCTATTTCTGAAAGAAATAAGAACTGGATTAAATTAGTTATTCAGTCTTCCATTATATTTTCAACAATTCTCTAACTAATTTGAATTTACCGCCTGAATTACTTCAAAAAATAAATTTTACTCAACGATTCATTAAAACAATATACTGTAACTAACTGTTGAAGAAATACAATAGTATACCAGAAAGATAATAAATGAACAAAAATATAAAGAAAACCTTTGAAACAATAGAATATATAGTTAGAATTCATTATTAATTATTTATATATTTATAATAATAATGATAATAATAATTATTATTATTATTACTATTATTATTATTATTAGAAGCTTTATTCAACATTATATTTTTGGTACAACATAGAATTCTCAGCATAAAGTATTTCAACAAGTTTCCTTTTCTTATACCTTGATCGATTGTGACGATAAATCTTGAATGATGACCAGTTAGATGTTAGGAGTTCGGTAATCGACATTTGATTAATGTTCATTTGTTTCAATGCATATTGCCAGCCACTATGATATCGCGGATTGTACCTTTTTGTATCCCGTATAACAAAAGGTTGTAAACTTTTCATAAACGCACCTGAATAGATTGTGTGCACAATAGACATAATGATGTGCTAAAACAAACAAGAAAACAGATAACTTGATGAAATATCTAGATCGAAGGAACAGGTAGCCCAGATATTCAAGCAGGCCGCCTAGATGGGGAGTTTTATTTGGTATCGTATGGAATAGAGAACATTGGGGGAAACACAATTAATTATTGATATGTATAAGATTGAAAATAACTCTGAACTTAAGTCATTAGACCAGTGGGGAAGTTAAAATGGGAAATTTACCATAAGAGAGAGGGAAATTTTTTAATTTTATTGAAAATTTATGATAACAGATTTTATGAAATGATTACATGAATTGAGGAACTTTTGTTTCATTCTATATAAAATCGTCCAAGATGATTCTTAGACTAGAATGTAAAGCTACCTTTAGTCTTTCTTAATTTTTGTATAAATTTTAGATCTTAACAACAACAAAAAAAAACCAACTCAATCGAAATCTTCATAAAGTAATCCAATTTCACGAATGTATACAGATGACCCAATGTAAACACTACTCCGTATTTTTTTCTTGAAAATACTTTATTTTATCCATAGAATACAAAGTGAACAATGTGTGAATCCACTTCATATTTAATTGATGTGCATAGTATATCATCAGTTTGTTAGTATGATAACAGGAAAACTTATTTTACTACGCTTCAAGTTTACTAATCTAATAAGAGATGAGATTATAAAGTTTTTGTTCCAGATAGTGATTAATATCTGTGATTCATTCTACTTAAAATACCAGATTAAGATCAAATAACTTTTTCAATACTCTTCATATTCAAGATGTGGTGTGTGCTATTTATATCGACATAAGTAGTATATGAAGTTAGTCAGGAACAGAATGTCTGGCAGCAGAGAGATATGAGGATCGAATAGTAAAGAATGGAAACAGAATGCAATTTGTATTAAAATGCAAGAACAATGAAGTCTGAGATAATTGATGGTCATTTTGAAAATTGAGCATTTACTTTATGATATGAGATGCAGGTACATCCAGCTGACGAGTCCCAAACAGGACGAAACACTCGTCCTGGATTCCACTGCTAGCCACTATCCATCTTCGCTTATTTACTTTATGGTTGTTAAATTTTATTAACATGTTCTGTAATTACTACAATCTCCATAAATCCCCCATTCTGATAATGATTTTTCATTTCATAGAATTATATATTTCAGTGTAATTTTTATTATAGACTGCATTCCAGGTCTTAACTTTTGCTAGAATTATATATTTGTGTGTGTGTGTGATATATCGGTCTACACTATACTGAATATGTTCATAATAGACAGTTGCAAATAATTCTAATCAAATAAGTAATATATTTCATTAATTGTTAAAATACAATAAAAAATAGGTTAGATTATAATTTTCCCACTTTCATGATAACTATACACATAGTTTAACAATACATTGTTTCATTATTCATAAAAACAACAATAGAGGTAAGAATAATTACGGAAATAATTCATAAAAAATAAGAAAAACCAATTAATTTTGAAGAGATTAACGAGTTCTATAGTATCAGGAAGTTAGTTACCAAGGTACTTAAACACAACTGATCAATATAGTTCTAGTTAGGAGTGTCTATACCGTGTTAATCATTTTTTTTTCTTAAGTAGTGAAATCAAGCTTCATACTACGAGTAAAAAATAATATACTATACTTACGCCTGTTACTCTTAATGGAGCACAGGCCGCTGACCAGCATTCTCCAACCCACTCTGTCCTGAGCCTTCTTTTCTAGATCCATCCAATTCTTGTTCATTTTTCTCATGTCTATCTCCATTTCCCGGCGTAATGTGTTCTTTGGTCTTCCTCTTTTCCTTTGGTCTTGAGGATTCTATGTAAGGGCTTGTCTTATGACGCAGTTGGGTGCTTTCCACGATGTGTCCTATCCATTTGCAGCGTTTCTTCCTGATTATATTTTAACTATGAAAGAAACATGTTTAAAATCTGTTTTGAAAACAAAAGGTTTTACGTGTTCAGTTGTTAATAGTAAACTATGACAAGTTTGGTAGAGTGAATTCAGATAATAAGCAAATATGGATAGTGGCTAATAGTGGAGTACAGTTTGACGCACGTTTCATTCTATTTGGAACTCGTCAGCTGCATTTACCTGCATCTCAGATTTGTGACATTAGGCAATATCAAGGCAGTCCACACATGATGCACATATGGCAACAAGAGGTTGATCAATTGCAGTCCTAAATAACAATGAGAAGATACAAGTAAACAACACCAA